CCAAGCGCTCAGAATTCACGGTGAAATAATTCAAGATTGCGGCGGATTGGAACATCTATCTACCAGAGATCTTTCTATCAGAGTGCGGTCCATCTCGCGATGTCATTAATGTGTTAAAGATCAATGAAGGATAAGAGTAATCAAAGTGGGATGGGAACTGGTTGGTACGCGCTTGGAACAGATTTCAAGACAACAACAGAAGGACCACATGCATGGAGGAATCGGGCGTTAGTGTTGCTTCTGCGATTCCGTTCTTGTTGAAAGGCGTTGAAAACTAGACCTCAGGAGAAAAGTTTAGATCAGCCTTCCAAGACGCGTACGCGAGCATAGCATTATTTCGAATGGTTACAGGAACTGAGATTTTTTTTAGATTCGTTAAGCGCTGCAGCGAGAGATGGTCATGTTGTTGTCTATAGGGAATCACAAAAGTTCCTTGGCTATTGCCACATTGCCTCTTTAAGCACTAAAAATCCAAATAAAAATAATCGGACTGGTGTGTTATTCTGCTCGAAAATGCAACGAAACGCGAAAAGCGCGCGGGTGACGAAGGAAAGCAATATGGATGGAAAGTACTCAAGTTGGAGCCCTCATTTTTCGTGTGATCAACCATTGTACGACGTAGAAGCATAGCGCGGCTAGGAGTGCGTTTACGGCGCGACGCAGGCACCGCGTACCCTACGAAGTAAAAAAGATGGCAGCGGTTGCCTCATTCAAAGCAAGTCCTTGGCGCCCTTTTTCGCACATCTGAATTTGAGTCACAAATGTATGCTCAGGGACCATTTGTGTAAATCCGACCGTTTGTTAAGCTTTCACTGAAGTCTCAAATATTATTGTTTTTCTCCTTAATTTATTCAAAAAATGCCGATTAGGTTGTGTAGCACACTTGTCGTTAAGATGCGAGGAGAGTCACCTATTGCTTCCAACGGAACAGAGTGTGCACAAATAATTTCTGATGATCATCTCGACTTTTCATCATCTGCGGTTAGGGTTCCTTTTTGGATTGTGACTTGATATGGATGCTATATATGGGCTTTTGTTCATACCTTTCAATTTGTTAAGTAGTGTGCCCTGGTAGCTAAGTGTTTTGGTCATACTGATTTCCAGCTTGGTCCTTCTGTGAAGACAAGATGGTTGCCGGGTGATGCCGCAAGCTCTGATAAATCTGGTGAAGAAGGTGTGGCCACCTCTATGAACGCGGTAATCATTAAATATTTTGTGGTGACAGTATTGGCGCTCTTCAACGCATGGTATTACCGCCTTCTCCATTGCCAGGACAAGAGCATATTTTCTTATAGGGTGACGAGAAACCCGTACTCGGTCCTGATGTAGTAACTCGTACTCCCTCTGAAATGGCGGACGCGAGCAACGGTGCGTTTTCCTAGAGCAGCTGTTTCCACTGTCATATCCATTGTCGTTCAGTTTCAAAGGAAGCCGGATCAACCACTCCAAAATTCTCAGACCCTGGCCTTGAAGCTCTTAAGAGCAATAATGGTGAGCTAAACGACGCAGATGTTACGAAGAAGGAGGTGATTGGATATTTGCCATTCGAATACCCAAATGAAGTTGTTCCAATTGAATCTTTGAATCTTAGTAGATAACTTGCACTATTTAGTACCAGTTTCAATCCGCTTTTTCATAACACTTCCAATTCAGAACAGTCATCTGCAGCCGCCGTTGAGTCCTGCTTTGGCTTGAAGGTGGTAGGAAGAGTCCGCATCACAGGCCAATCGTTGACAGAGGAAAGGAGATGATTCACAAATTGCTAACGGAGAGCGACAATGCCAACTCCCGTCCTCGACTTGGATCGGAGCGTCAATATGATACATTCACAAAACCCGTGGACGACGAATTACAGAAGACACGCAGCTTCGCTGATTTCACGGACGAAAAGATGGATCAGGTTTGAAGTGAAAATTTCCAAAAAAAGCTTCGTTCTCATATTATGACTTGATGTACTCAAAGATCTGTTGGTATACTTTCACTTATTCATATCTGCATTTGTAGTCGAGTCCATTCCGTGCAACCCGCGAAGACGTATTCTGTACAAATTCACAGGAAAGCATCGTTGAGGATGCAAACGCGTCATTCGATGATGACATTGCAGCTGCCTTCACCCATCCCTTAGAGACAGTGACAAAAGTTAAAAAGGTAGTTTCCAAAATTTATGTTTCAAGGTGCGTACGAGGCAGAATCTCCTTTTCTTGGTCGTTACCATGTGGCAGTAGTCATATCATTTTCTCATTTTGTTCAGGCTGACACTCACATTACAACCACAAAGGAGCAGAAGCCAGCCGAAGCACAGGCGAGAGTTTACTTGTTGCTAGATGAAGTAACCAAATTTGTCAAATTATAGAACAGTGCCCTTTCAGAACGGTTTCAATACTTTTGCAGGGCAAATGATCGGAACCCTCTGAACTGGTTCCGGTGGACACTCTTCTGCACCTAAAATTATTGGTGGGGCGATTTCTGCCGCGGTGTGCCAGATACGCCTTCTTGGACCCTCCTCTGCTGTACCCTACCGATCTTACCCTTTCATGAACATCTGTTTTAGGGCGAGCTTTATCTTTTGGGTGGCAGCACGCAGGCGACCTGCATCACTCATGCGGCGAGTGTGCGACAGGGTTGAGATCCCAAAGTTTTACTTCATCATCTCCAAAGCAGTGGATGCTATAGTTAGCTGGCGAGTCGCAAATATTAAACCAGTTGGCGCCGCACGCATTGCGCGCGCAACACAGATCTGCTGCGAACTTTGATGGTGCGACAAAAATTTTCATATTTGGCTTGATACACTACGAATATCTGAATCCTCAGCTAAATTCAATCCGCTCCATCATCGACGGCTTTCAACCTTTTTTTCTTCGTCAACCATTATCCTCTTTTCGGTCTCCGGACTGCTTCCGGACAATAAATCTCGTGGCAAACTCCGCCTACTTCGGTGCGTGCCCCGCCCACCAATAGCATTTGGCCCCCTTCCTTTCGCCGACCTCTACCCCTTTTTTCACCGGTCTCTGGGACCTCTTGGAACCAAATTACGACACTTTTGGCAAACTCCGCCCAATTATGTGCATGCTCCGCCCACTAATAGCAGTTGACCTCCTTTCCTTTGCCGGCCTCTACTCCCTTTCTCCCGGCCTCCGGGACTTGTTGGAGCCGAGTTTTATATTTTCGTCGCAGACTCCGCCCACTTTGGTCCAAGCCCCGCCCACCGATGACAGTTAACCTCCACTCCTCCACCCACCTCTATCCACCTTTTTCCCGGCCTCCGGGACTTGTTGGAGCCGAGTTTTGAATTTTCGTCGCAAACTCCGCCCACTTTGGTCAAGCCCCGCCCACCGATGACAGTAACCTCCACTCCTCCACCCACCTCTATCCACCTTTTCCCCAGCCTCCGGAGCTTCATGGAGCCGAGTTATGAAATTTTCGTCGCAAACTCCGCCCACTTTGGTCAAGCTCCCGCCCACTTTGTGTCGAAGCCCCGCCCACCGATGACAGCTGGCCTCCACTCCTCCACCCACCTCTATCCACCTTTTTCCGGCTCTTTAAGACTTCCCCGACCCGAAAATGCTGTACACTTCAGAGCGCGCCCGCCCATTCTGGGCGGGCCTCCTCCGCCCACGTCATGTATGCAGGGAAACACCTTAGACATTGCTCCCTTACACCAATTGTTTTCTGCTCTGTAGGCTTTCTCCCAACCGAGTTATGAAATTTTTCATAAAGCACTGCTTTTTTGGAGAACGCCCCGCCCACCGGGGGTGGGTCTCCCTAATTCGATGTGACTTACCAATGCACACCTTTACCCACTTTTTGGCCCAGTTTCGAGGTCGTTTTGTCACTGAAATCGAAATCTTGGTCTTCGGTACAATTCATTTCGACGCACGCCACGCCCTCTGTGGGCGGGGCTCCGCTTAGCTGATGTGTGTTTTGTATTACGTGAGACCCTGCCCACCCATCCCACACTTGACCCGGTCCCTCCAGGCGGATCCCGAGGAGCTAGGGAAACTATCTGCGCGTGAGCAGAGCATACCAGATAGGCGACACACGATCACACGACACGCGACAGCCGAAGCGCCTATATAAACTAGGATTGAAGTCATTGGTATATAGTGTTCGTAAACTGGTTCACCTGTACTCTCTACTCCTCCTCCCTCCAACGCTGTCAAGCAGCATAAATTTATCATTCTAATGAGTTCAGCGGCCTTATATAATAACACTACCCTTATAATAATGAGAGCCAATGAAGAATGAAGCTTCGGAACTATTTTCTTTGGTGAAATGTTCACTTTCTGATTTTCTGACATGAAGCAATCCAGTGTACAGGTAACGGCAACACCAACAAATACTCCGTCATCGCCGCTATTGGATGAACCTACGAAGCAGGAGCCGTTCACAGAAGAAGATCTCAAAATTCGAAATACTAAGGACATATCGGGATGCGATGATGTGAGTACCCTTCCTTCACAAAAGTAGACTTGACTGTCTTACTTGTTGGTTCAGTATGATGGATTTTCGAACAAGAAAGCTGAGTCTGAAGTAACTAGTGAAACTTCTGGTCTTGGAAATGGTGGAAATGTGAGCGAATCCGACCAAGATGAAATGCTTGCTCGCAAGTATGCAGGTAGATATTTTTTAGATAGAAAAATATCTGTATTTTAGATAGAAAAAATATCGTTACCACTCATTTGGTGCGCGTTTTCGTAGCTTGAGGAGTTCAGGGACCACTGGAACTTTCCTCAGTACTCCCGAATGGCTAGGGCGCAAACGATTAGAGAACGGCGCCCACCTCAGCTTTTAATGGTGTAAAGCGGGAGACAAGTGAGCGAGCGGAAATGGGGGCAACTCAGAAGGTGGGGCTGCGCGAGCTGCTCTCTCATAAGGTGCGAGGTCGCCATAGTCGTAAACCACTACTCAGGCGAGCGTGCCAGGGCAGTGCAATGGCTCAGTTTGAGGGCCGAGTTCAAATAGCCGTGGACGGCATGAGACAATAGGATCTGTTACATTGCCACATTCGCTAAAATCAGGTTGTATTTAAAGCAACCCCAGATCAAACTGTTGGGGAAGTAGCAGTCGATCATGAATGTGTGGATACCGAGTTGTTTGGATATGAAAAAAGTGCAAAGGAAAACCGCCTATGAAGCCTTTACTAATGACCCCTCCTTGGCTACCTTGTGACGAGGAAGGCGGTGTACAGACGAGTTCAAATGAGCGCAGCCGTATTGATGCGTGTGCCATGTCTATTGAATCGATGTGATGCGTGTGTCATATCTATTGAATCAGTCACCTATCTTATCCGCTACGTCGTAATCAACGTTGCATGCGACTTCCACGGCTAGCTGTGGGGCGTGTTAGTCAAAAGCCGGACGGACCGAAGTTGGCGCCTATCCAATGCCTTATTGTTAGCACTTTTTGCTCTAGCAGCACCTCATGTCTTTTCGACTAGGGCCCATTCATCGTTTCACTGGATTATTAGAAACTGTATGCACCCTTCTCTGATTGTTGCCTTGAAAGAGGAGTTTACGATAAGAATAGTCAGTAGAATTCAAGCTAGAGGTAGTTAGTGTTGCGAGGATGAAGGAAAAACCATGAGAAACGGCCTAGAACCTAATAGGATCTCTTTACCCGTTTTCCTGCATATTGATGATCTTCGACTATAACGCTCTCGGTGCGCTTACCAATCAGTAAGGGGTCAGAGTCGAGGTTTTCCGAAGGGGGTAGGAGGAGGCGTGCATAGGCGTGAGCGGATGCGGCCCTGTCAGGCCGTTGAGGGCACACTGCTTCGCTGCGAAACACGCATCGTCCCCATCCTTACGGAGGGAGGAGGTGCTGCCTTTCGACTGGGTATATTTCCCTTTCTTCGACTTTCGACTGATCGTGAAATCCGTCTTCAAGTTGTATTGCTTTCTTTCCTTTTTCAGAACCTAATAAGAGTATGTCTGCTAGTGGAACTGGCAACGAGTTTGCAGAAGTCAATGAGAAAACAAGTGGTGAAATGGAGGACTTTGACTATCCTAAATCATCGCATGTTTTAGAAGCTATTCAGGAGAAGGTCATTAATTTGATAGTATATCT